TACAACTGCAGTTGACAACTGCAGATAGTGGCGAGACAGCCGCGGACAACGGCGAACGGCACTAGACAAATGCAAACAGTAGTGACAGTGCTGGTGGACAACCCAGGAAAGAAAACCAGAGCAGGATGAACCTGCTCTGATACCAACTTGAGATCTAAAACTAAGAAAAATAGTTCTGAAGGGCTTAGAAGACCCTCTCAGTTCTCTTATTTATCTAGATAAAAAAACTGATACAATAATAGATGGAAGATGACGAGATTGTCCTAGACTGCTAGGAACAATCATTATAGATAACCCAACACACACTACCTACTTTAGGCCCTGCTACACTAATCATAGGTAGACTTAATAATTATTCTAACAGTATGCTTGCCCTTGCCTCCTTTTTTGTATACGCCTCCTTTTTGCCCCCACTCTCGGCTTGGGTTTTTTGGCCCCCATTCTCGGCTTGAGGATCTTTCCATCTTCAGCCCCCATTCTCGGCTTGGGGGTTTTCCGTGTAATTTCAACACTTTTCCCTTGTGTGGCGTGGCTTATTACAATGAGTAACACAAACTCCTCAGTTTTTTCTCCATATTGGGAACCTAGTTTTTTTCTGGTTGGCAATCATGATTGTTCCTCCTTCAGCTATCATTGCAGAATTTTCGGTGGTTGAGGTTTCCAGCATCAGCCCTCTCCTTTTCTTCACTCCGGATATTGGCCACCACTTCATTAAGCCCTGGAACCTTTTCTTTTCCCAGGATTTGGATTCGAACTTGGTCATATTCAGGGTTTAGGCCTACCAAAAAATCATAGACCCTATCTTGTTCAATATACTTCTTTAGAATTGTTGAGTCTTCTGAGCATTTTGCTTTTATAACTCGATAGTGATCCAGTTCCATCCATAGAGACTTGAGTTGATTGGCATATTCTGTGATTGATTTATTTCCCTGTTTGGCAGCCACAGTCTTCACTTTTACATCATAAATTTGAGCAGCATCCTTGGCCTTAGAGTAAGTTTGTTCAGCTTCCTCCCAAATTTCTTTTGCTGATTTCAGAAACATACAGGTATCACTGATTTCTGGGACCATTTAATTCCATAGCCATGCCATGATCATGGAGTCTTCTTCATCCCATGATTTGAATTTGGGATCAGTCTCATCTGGTGTATTACCAGTCAGGTGATTGATCTTCCCTTTACCTTTCAAGATGGTCTTAATGATTTGAGACCATTTGAGATAGTTCTTCCCATTTAACCTATAAGTGGAATGAATATTCTGCATTTCTCCAGTGGTTTGGGGACTGTCCCCAGTTTCCAGATTCACTACTTCAGCCATAACAAGGAGGAATCAAGGTGGAAGGAGTTACGCTGCAATGAAGGCTAGCTCCGGGGCACAACAATAAAGGCTGCGATTTTAGGTTACAGATCGCGCAGCAATGAAGGCTGTGGCTGCAGTTTGGTGGCACGGTCAGAGACTCCCAGGGATCGGGAGCTCTGATACCATCTCAAATTTAGAAGGAATATTATTTCTTTCTTATTCTCATTATGAGGTTATTAACCTTTATAAATATACATGGGTTAGCTGCATATTTTAGGAAATGCAGACGGTTAATTCTAAGAAACAGATCCCTATGAGTACGGGATCAATCATACATAAATAAACCTAATAAATGCAGCACATAACTGTTGCATAAATACAGCCCATCAAATATAAAAACATCCTAAATATATCACGACAATTACTACCACGTCAATCATGGCTTTTGACATTTTCTGAACCCAACAATTAGTTTTTATCCAGTTTCAAGGTATTAGACAGTCACGAGTCACATTATCTACAGTTTCTTTCACTCTATAAAACAACGGGTCTTAAGTCCCTAGAACAGTTATTGTTGGATAAGAGTAAATTTAACCAGCATGACATGTTTTTGTTCTACTACATTGTTATAATGAACATAAAGTGCATTTCTGTTTCCTCCTGAATATAATATTTCAAGAAATTGGCAGATCTCAACATGGTATACATAAATTGTGAAGTCAGTTGCGTATCATAAGACATTTCCTGCTGCCTCTTTTTCCACAAACATAAGTGGTTTAGATAGGCAAGGATAGTAGGTATGGGGAAGGTCGTTGGGAAATAGAAAATGAATCCCATTGAATTTGCACTAAGCTATTGGTCTCGCATTTCTTACTTACCGTTAGTGGAATGAACCATATGATCCATGAAGAAACTGTATGATATTTTAACAAACGTGTTTGAATTTGAAAGAAACCACTTGCATTAAGAGTGCACATATTAACTGTTGTCTTTGAAATCATTGAAATAAGAAATTGATTTGATAGGATTACACTGAAGGTAACTAGATTCGGCTGCCAATTCCCTCATTTGGAACTTGAACAAAACATAAAAAAATAGTGGCTATTTCAGCCCCTAAAATTGTAGAAGAATGTTAACCTAGTCTAAAAATTATTAAAATTCTAAAATAGTTCAGGCATTTGAAGACTATTCAAATTAGTTCAATCAGCCCCCTCAGTTAACAAACAATGTCAGAGATGCTGATATGGCTCCCCTATGTCCATCCATATGTGGCTAACCAGTCGCAAGGCCTATTTTCTGTAACATTCACCTTTGGCCTCCTATTAAAAAAAATCATTTCAACCCAAGAATACGAAGATTCAGAACTTTAAGAGAGAGTGCATCATTTACCCTAACACTGATTTCTTTTTTGTGTCATCGTGCATTTTAACACTGAAGCAAAGCTTTTGTTCACATGGGCAACTACTGAAAATACTTGTTATGGCAGGTTACTATCTACTTTTGGCGTTTTGTTCCTGTAAATAGGCAAATTGTTGATTAGCACATGCTATTACCTTAACTTGTTTCTTAACTGCACTAATTTTAAACTGAACAACACTATTTTTTAACAGAATTGCACTAATTTTCAACTGAATTATAATATTTTTGAATTAAAAAACTAAAAAAGGTAGTATTTATCCACTTCATTCATAATATAGGTTCCTTATAACCTAAAATAGACATAAAACTAAGTAGATAGAAAAGATTTGTCTCTACTCAAGAACATAGGTTCCCCCATAAACAAATCTCTTAATAATTATATCTTCCTGGAAATCTTTGTTAATAAAAATTAAGAAAATGACTTTTTCTTTTTTTACATTAAAGTTTAGAACTCCTCTTTAGTACTACTTGTTGTAAATATCAGAATTCTATTAGAAATGCATTGATTAAAAAATGTACTAGGATGAGTTCACATTATTCGATCTCATTGAATCTTTATTCTAATCAAGTTATACAATTTAAAATTTAGTTATTTCAAATGTTTTTATAATTGCTTTACCGACTAATTCTAATTAAGTCTAATAAAAAATTAAGAAACAATTATAAATAATTAAACACACACAACTGAACTAACACTAAACCAAAAAATAGTTTGTTTGAACTGAACTAAACTATTTTTTTTTCTAACAAACTTAACTGAACTATTATTTAAAATTTTTGAAACGAAAAGACAAATTAACTAATAAGTAGATTGGAAAGATTTGTATTTACTTAAGAACATAAGTTTTCCCATAAATAAAAAAATTAAAAGGTTAAGATGTGTTGGGTTAAACCAAAAGTTGAGACGACCCAAGTTAGGCAAATTGTAAAAACAAGTTAGGGCTGAAATTCAGTCGGGACAGGCACGTTCGAAACTTAGTCAAGTCGATCTCGACCAAAATTCGACTAAGTCGGCCTCAGTTGAAAATTTGACAAATTTGGTTGGAACGACCACGGTCGAAACTTGCTCAATTCAGTCTTGACCGAAAATCTGCCGAATTTAACTGAATTGGCCTTGACAAAAATCTTCCGAATTTGGATGGGACGACCATGATTGAAACTTAGTCAAGTTGGTCCTGATCGAAATTGGCCAAATTTGATTTAGTCGGCACTGGTTGAAAATTAGCAGAATTCGGTCGGGAAGGCCATGAATGGTCAACACGGTCCCCATCAAAAATGAATTCGGCCGAGTCAACCTCAGTCAAAAATTGGCTGAATTCAGTTGAGTCAGGCACGGTCGAAACTCGGTTGAGTCAATTCCGGTCGAAAATAGACCAAATTTGGCCAAGTTAGCCCAATCAAAGTTTGGTCTAATTAGCAGTAGTTCTGCAACTTTAGAAACTTTCAAACAAGTAAAAAGTATAAAAAAAATTAGTTTTAAGTTAATGAATAGTTAATTGAACTATAACTTTAGAGATTCAGTTTTCTAAAACTGAACTATAAAATAGTGTAATTCAATTTTTATTGTAAATAGTTCAGTTTTTTTAATTCAATATAGTACAATTAATCGATAATTCACTACAATTAAGTTAATTTTGTCCACCCCTATTGTAAACCATAGCAAAAAATAAAAATTGTTGTTTTTCCAACCATTGATCCATGAGATTGCAAACGCACTCCAACTTCCACTCATGCCTTTCTTTTGTTGTCTAGGCTGTACAAATGGTCCTATATTGGGAAATATCATCTCCAATGTGTTGTTCCTTTTGAAGCTTTATTTCTATAGTTCTTGGGACGGTTCTGAACTGTTGAAGAAGTGGAAAGAAGGTGAAAGTTGCCAAAATTGTTAGAATGGTCCCAGTGAATGGGCTGCCACATGGGAGCTGGCATGGCAATTAGAGTCCGTTTACTTGTGCTTTTATTTCCGATTTTGATTTCTGTTTTCAATTTTTAGATGGTTGTTGGGGAAACATACACAACAAAGAAAAAATGTTTTCAATGTTTTCTACACGAGTCTTTGATAAGATGAAACAAATTGAAATCAAGGTGTTACTTTTGTAATTAAAAAATATAAAAAAATGAGAATAAGAAATAAAAACAGTAAAACTGATCCTTAATGTGCCGCATTAGCATGTCTGACATTTAGTTTACTAAGGAAACAATTGTATTAACTTGAGTGATGATATTCAATTTTAGATACTGTGTGAACCATGTTCATAGTAAAAAAAAAGGAAAATCCATTTTGGAACTATCATGAGATCTTAATCATTTCTGGGACTAAGTTGGCAGCAGCCTACAGTTTTAGGGACTGAACTGTTGATGTCTTATGACTAGGCTTCTACTTGTGGGTCAATGTTGGCATAGGTAGGGCACTTAACACGCTACATTAGCACGCTTGTTGCCATTTTTGAGTGGGGGTAACGGATGGAATAAGTTGAGAATCTTCTATTTTAGAGTATTTAGACATTTTAATAATTTCGAAGACTAAATTGACACACTTCTACAGGACTAAAGTTATGATTCCCTCAAGAAATAGAATTTGAATTGATTTGCAAATCATTCTCTTGTTTGTAGGAGCACCTCTAAGATAAATTGAATTTATTTTGTTTCATCAAATTTGTTTACCACCCTTATTTAGAATATAGGTAAAATAAAATCACTAATGTAATGTGGGCAAAGTTTTCATTTCTAATAAATTAAAGCTAAAGTCAAATTTAATCCAACCAAGCATACTAGTATGTAGTTTTTAGCAAATAATGTTGTGCTCTCTAAGTGGAAACTTTATAAAAGAGCAATACTTATGAAGTGTTTTCGGTCCCAGATTACATAATAATCCTTTGTTTTTAATAGATAGTAGTGTCCCTGGGAAGTGGACCATGGGATCAGCTATTTGGTGGAGGAAACTCCCCAGCCTTTGCAGTAGGAGCTGTTTCAACCATTATCAGTGGACTCATAGCTATCTTGGCTATTCCTCGATCTGGTGCTCAAAAGGCTCGAAGTCATGCGTGAGGTATCATGTTCATGTTAAAGCATTTATTTCTTTCGAAGGAGGAGGGTGAAAATGAACAGGTAGCAAGAATTTGTACATAGTTATTTTTTATTGTATCCTTTTTCCCGAGCAAAGATTTCACTCTCAATTGTCCTCTAATAAAATAAATGTATGTTTGTTGTATTGTACTTTAATATTATTGGTCATTATTTGAAGCAAAATGACCTGTTTTCTGAGTGTTATTATTTTCTGAAGCAAAGAAAGCTCTAGGAACAATTTTTGTGTGTGATCCTGATGAGCCAGTTGTCTGTTTAAAACAGTGAGGTTGGTTGGCTATGTAAATCATGAGACATGACAAGCTGTAGAAAAGGGTGAATGAATACTCTTGATGTCAAAGGAACGATCTAAAACAGAAAATTTATATATCATTACCTTTCCCATCATCTTGGAATCTCATGTAAATATGATATCATAAAAGCTGTCACCAAATTCTGGTTGAAATATTGTGCAATCAGTGGAGACCTTCCTCATTGTAAATTAGTTCTTCTCGTGCAAGATGTTCCTTTCGTGGCTAATTGCAAAGTAGTTATGGCATCTTCCATGGGTTCTAAAGTTCATCTCAGGCAACATTCTTTCCCACCAACACGAGTTGCTGCTGATTTGGAATTATTCGAGATGAAATATTGGTTTTTTTAAAGGCAATTCTGGTTGTGTATTAGTGCTGCTATATTGAAGTGTTGGAATCTTCTACATTTGTGTGACTTGTTTGTATTAGTGGGATGAACGTGTTTAGTGGCCAACACTGAGTATGTGAATTTTTCTGATGGAAAACCTTGATGGAGACATGCCTATAATGCTCCTTATTTTGGTATAAGTATTTTTCTTTCAAAAAGAACAAAATTCTTCAAGAACTGGTCTCATTTATCGTGTTCGTTTAATGCTTTCTAGCTCTTGCCTTAAAGACATGCTTTAAGGACTACGTGTCCTTCTCTTAATTTATCATAATCACTAAAAGAATAAACTACTTATTTTAATCATATTTAATGTTCTTACTTTTCATTCACGATTTTTCTATCAATTTGAGTAATGGTGAATTAAATTGAAATTTTTTAATTAAATATTGAACGGAACGTTTAATGTTATTATTAGATTTTTTTTTTATGAAAAACAACTATATTTGTTGATTTTCTTACTCTCTCCTTGAAAGCTGCAAATTTTTTTTCTAGATATTTTCTTTTCAATTCATAATGAATGCTTAGGGACAAATTCCTCCAATCGTTTTGCTGCTTTTGTATGATGGAATAAATTCGTGTTTGATATACTTCACCCTGATTTGCTTTCAATCATCTTTCGCATAATATCTTTTTTTCACACACACCACATATTTTGATTGGCTATAAAATCTCTTCGATGGATTGATGAACCATGAGCAAATAACTGTTCAATTGGTTTTGATAAGATTTGATAATTGTGAAAAGGGAGATTTTCACCTTTTCACAGTTTGGATCATCAAAACTTAATGTTCATTCATCCTGAGATATTTGATTTGCAAGACAAAAAGATGCTTATGCTTATTACTTCTGGTCAAGAAAATGGAGAAAGTATGTCTCAGTAGTAAATGATTACTGAAGATAAACCAAAAGAAAAGGATGTAATTTGATTTGTGGGGAGAGAATTGAGGATGAATTTGGTGGTTGTATGGTAGAATATTTGACCCCATGATAATACATTCATGGGAAAAAGCTTTGGTTAGATGGATACAATACAAGTTTGGAATCTGTTCCATCTTCTAGAGAAGCATAACATTGTCAAAATTAATATTTCATTTGTCTTGTCACTCTTTTTGCCCCAGCTAGCGTTGTAGTTTTCACTGTCATATCCCTAAAATTTGAGCCATATTCCTCAACTCATCTACTTTTCTAATCAGCTTGAGTTATATTATTCTCATGTGCTTTACTTTTTATAAGCCATTTTTTTATGTCTGTCTATTATATTACTAAAATTTATTTTGTATCTCTCTCTTTCTCTCATCTATTTTAATTATGCAGATAACGGTAAGAGAATTTCCCAAAGGAAAAAGAAAAAAAAAAACTGTCTAATCTATCTACCGAACTTGTCCTAAGATGTGTTTTAAATTGATGAGAGCACAATCACGTGATCCTAGTATTGGGTATCTATGAAATAAACCCCTCTCAGGTGGGAAGGAGAATTAGTTGCCCAATTAAAATGCCAAATTCGAATTTGGATTCCAAATTTCTAACTCATGTTCACCCTTTGGATGACACCGTTTTTCTATCTTCCCATCCTCAGTACTGATTCTTTTGATGCTATGCCCGTGACTCCAACTAAAAACCAGTTAAAATAACATATCACTTTATTTAATACTTCAATTTTCTTACCAAAATATTCCCTCAAAAGAATATTTATGGAAACGTTTACTTTACTTCAAATACATGAATCATGATTTCAACCTATGCCATTTTACATACAAAATGCTTATCAATTTCAAAGCATATATAAAGGGAAGTTTAGCAAAGAAAAAAACAGTTTTTCCAACTATTACCTACTATTATATGTTATTTCCAAGATCCTCCTGCTAAAGATTTTGCAACTAACAATAGGTTGTTATAGTGTACAACTAGAGGGTCTTTAATGGGATTTATATTGTCTAAAGCTGTCACACTCTTTTTGTTAACATATTTTATATACTTTGGCATAAAAAAAGGATTTTGCAAAGGAGAGAAAGGGAATGCAGGTTGGGAGAATCCCTAATAGTTGTTCATCTAACTCATATTTAAGTAACGGTAGAAGCATGTGAAACTAACAGCAACTTGGTGCATGTGCATAGTACAAGACCTGTGAGAGATGAAGCATTAATTATGGTGAGGTTGTGCCTAAGGAAAAGCACCTAATTAGGCTACATAACAGAAGCAGAAATATTAAGAATGTGCATGTTGGAGATAATTGGTTCTAGTTTTTCAACTGAAGTGGAATTTTGGATTGGTTGTGCTTGGTCCCTTACCATCAATGGCAAACCCTTTTAATATATGTATTGTGTTGCTTAGAATCTAAATGGGGACACTGCTATCTGTTGTGAAAAACAGGTCCACACTATTTCCAAAATAGGGGCTAGCATGTGCTAATCAGCAATGTTACCATTTTGTCAGAAACTAAGCACTAAATGTAGAGTAACCTACTATCACTAGCTACTACTACTTCAGTACTTTCTCTTCATGACACCCTACAAAGAAGAAGTTGAACATCTTTCTGTTCTTTCTAGCCTAATCATTCACTTTTGTTCTCTTATAAGTTTACCAAGCAACAACCAATATTTTTAACAATACATTCTATTAATTACCCACTTTCTCCACTCTTTAAACATCATATCAGAAGCTTTGTAATGGAAAAAACATGTCTTCAAAGAGATTAATTCATTCAATGGATTCAAATTCTTGACTTCTAACTTTAAGACAGCTTGGTCAAACTCAAAGACTATGCAGATATTACCTCCTTAGAAAGATTTTCTTTTTCATACTCAAATATATACCACAAAAACTAATTATTTGTTGTGATATTTCTCTGTCAACCTAAGTCATCATTCTAAAAAAATTTATTCAATCATGTACGTTTTGATGTATCGTGTTTACCAACCAGGTTTAAACCTCTTTATTTTCTCAATAGAAATTAACTATAATTTTTTATATTGGAATAGACTAGCGAAATTGACCAGTATGAGTTGTCCCTCAACATAAAACATTAAGACTTAATGGATCTTTTGAGGGAGGATCTCTTGTGTAACATAACAATAATAAGACATGAGTCTAACTCAACATAAAGAATTGAAACCACCTCCAACCTAAAACTAATGAATTTATGAGTTTTGTTCTTTGTATGGTGTTCAACTTTCTTATTTTTACTCAACATGAAATTCAAACTCACTTTGTATTTGAGTTTTGTTTTTCTTATATACAAACTTTTTCATTTCTACTACTCAATGCGGCACTTCAAACTCAATCTTGGATTTCTAAGAACTTAAACTGAAAGAGATAATACTCTGTTGAACTATATCCAATTGGGTTGATCACTGAGGAAAATTGTAATGGTATCCTATACACATGACTTGTGACCTTTGTGATACAGATTAAATGGATGTTGTGATTGGAGCACTCATATTCTCTCTCTAATGTTTCCAATTTCCCATCTGTCTCTCCTCCGTATGGCCACTAGTGGCCCAATCCATTCCATATTTTCACTTACTGATATAAACATATAAACATATAAACATATATATATTATATATAATGATTCGGATGAAGAAAACCTTTACAAATGGAAACTAAGAAGAAGGGTGCACTATAAATAAAACCCTCTAAGGCACAAAACCAATTAGCAACTTGTCATTGGTACTACTGTCTTCTAAAAGACCATCTGTTGCTAACAATCTTAATTCAGACATTTCATTTCCCCTCTATTGGTTAACACACATAAACCAATCCCATTACAGATGTTACATCTGCATATGTAACAACAGTGCAGTCATTCAAAGAGCAATAATATGAAGGGAAATAGAGGAAGAGGAGTAGAAAGTGTGGGGCCAAAACTTAGATATGTAGTGAAAAGTTGCCATCTTTAGAATTTGGGAAAGTAGTGATGAATGGAATGGAATGTTTTGGGGCTTTGGGGTTTGAGATATGGTTCTATTTCTATCAACACTAGACAGCAGGAGTTGTGTTAGGAATGGGGTTTTATGACATTGGTTGGGAAAGAATGGAACATGCAACACTTGGATGCCTCAAAGAACATGCAAAAGCAAAACATTTTGCCTTCCAAATCAGAACCTATTGCTCAAAACAAAACAAACCATGTTGCATTTGCAGTATACATATGAGAAATTTTAATATAGGACAAGAACAATGCTAATTATATGATTGCTCTTTGACACATTATTTTTAAACCACTTTTTTCTTTTTTTCTCTTATAAATTTCATGTGGGTCCCTATCTTAGAGTCATTTTCATGCATGTACGTGTCAGTGATAATCAATTTGTTTTAATAGCAATATTAAACCAGGGAAATACATTCATTAGTTGTGAATGGAATATAACCCAGTTTAAGGCTTATTTTATCCATTCACTAATTTATTGAAGTAAGCAAGCATGATAAGTAATTAAATGAGTATACAGGTTTTAATCAATTTTTTTTTTAATTGAAAGGGTTGAAGAGTGTTAATAAAAAAAATCAACGTTTTGTATAAAGATATTAAGTTAAATCAAATTGATTTTTGCATTGTTTAATGAAACTTTCCAAAATTAAAATTGTTTATATTTTATCTTAATTTAATGATGTTACAACATAGATTAAGTGGGTTAGCACTATGTTTTTGCTAAATATGAAATCTTAAAATTGCTTGATAATAAACTTTACTAAATGATTTCACAACTTAAAAACGACAAAAAAAAATATAATATTAAGATGACCCATATATATATATATATATATATATATATATATATTATATTTCTAATTAAGATCTTATCTAGGGTATAAAGGCATATAAAAAAAATTGGTTACATATGATTGAAAAAGGAATACAAAAAACCCTATATTTTATAAAAAAAGAAGAGCCTTTTGCTTTCATTCATAATTGAGCAATGATATGTGTGAGAAGTTGACAACAATAAGTCTAGGCCTCAGCTTTTCTTATAACTATAAATCTACACTAGTATGTTTTCGAGGAAATTAAAGGGAAAAAAGGTAAGTTTCCTTTTTAATAAATATTTTTTCAAAGTTTTATTTTTACCTCAATTAGTAGTAAGGTTTAATACTTTTTTATTTATAGCTTTTGTAGTAATTGTTCAATTCTATGAATATTTTTTTCTTTTAGAAACACAAATGCATCATTTTATCAACTCATCATTTTCCAACAATATTACTAATATAACATATTGAACCACGTTGATTCTTTTTAATAAATTGTAGAATTACATTAAATAAAAAATTTAAGAAAAAACATTAAATAATTACTATAACTATTAAGTTCAAAAAGGTATTAAGCTTTAATATTAGTTGAATGTGTTTATAACACATTCAATATATTTATAACGCATCCAATACCATGTATGCTTTTTATGAATAACATAGTTTTAGTTGAAGTTCAGAGGAAGTTAATAACAAATTTGAAGAGAAACATTAGAAACTTTTTTAAGTAGAAATGATAGAATTTATAAAATGTAAGTTTAGTTCACATTCAATGCTTAGAGAAGAAAAAATTGAAGACCATAGCTTATCACATGCTAAGCATGGTTTAGATATCTTGATAGTATACTATTATAAAAAGAAAAACAAGCAAGAAAAAGGAGAATGATATCAACCACAAGATTGGATGTGCATTGAATCTTATATGTGACAAAATAGTACTAAAATTATTTAAAAAATATTTTACAACGAAATCATATTGAGATGTTGTATAAAAGTATGCATAATTTGGACGGTAAAAAGGCAACGACAAATAACCTCAATTTAAAAATTATGAGTGTTGTGTTATTTTAAGCAAGAGATGATTAAAACAATGCATAAAAATGTTGGAAACCTATTGTGAAAAAAAAAACATAGTGGAAGAATCTTATTTTAATTGGTTTAGACGTGTAGGAAAACTAAAACGTAAGACGAAATAAACAATTTCAATTCCTCAAAAAAAGAAAAAAGTTAGAAGCCAATAACACAATAATTATAATATAGATATTGAAATAATTTTTATACAATTATTCAAGTATATACATATATATACAAATTAAGTTTGTTATTTTTATAATAACTTCATCGAAGTTATATTTACTAAGATATATTTAACTAGTTTACAACATAAAATTTTTAAACTCATAATAGAGTAATAATATGTAATGGACTCACAAATAAAATAGTATATTTAATTAATTAACTTATCATGTTGTTTGGAAAGCGTGGATATATGATAACAAATAAGTTAGCAACTATTGAAAAATTAAGTCTTTTTTTCTAATCAAGTGACCATACATGATACGATAATACTATTAAAAAAATTAGTTGCACTTAATAAAGAATGAAATACTTCAACCATAGTCTACAAGTAATAACCTAAGGTTTAATTTCACATGCAAGAATTGACTTCTCATAACCCCCCACTTTACCAAATTTCAGTATAAAATTCTTTATTTTCCATTCACGAGAACCCAAAGCATGGTATTTTTTTTTCTTTTTAATTGAAAAGGTTATCCATTTCCAATAACATAAAACTTGAAACCACTATCGAGTGCATCATTATCGAACCAAAGTTGTCGTTTTAGACGGCTGAAAAAAAAATCCATCAAAGCGAATAAAGGCATTTTGTTCTCTTTTTTGTTTTCTCTTGATTTTCACCCTCCTAAAGATGATAGCTTTGAACTTATTTTCACTCCACACTCAATGCTAAAGAAAACCACTTATCACCCCATTTTTTTTTTCTTTTTTCACTTTTTAATAAATAAAATTAGCTTCTATCTACACTTACATAATCACAAAGTGATCAAAGTTGGTTACCATGCCACCACCCCACAACCATTTTCTTTCCTTCAACTTGATCTTTCTTTTTGACATTCTCTCTAAATTAAAAACTATATATATATATATATATATATATATATATATATATATATAATATTGGCCTTTCTTATTAACATCATGATGTATGACACTTATTGCAAATTTATTAACAATATTTTTTAGTTTAAAAATTGAACTTGAGTCTAGTTGATTGGTGATTAAAGAGTGATTTTTGACTGAGATCTCACCTTTTTGGCAAGTTATTTATATTTTATATTAAAAAATTGTGATTTTGTTGAAATTTGAAAAGGTCCAATCTTTCATGCATAAAAGGGCCTCCCCTTAGTTCATTCTCCCACATACAAAGCTTGCTACTCTCAATCAAACAAACCGCACGCTCACTCTTGTAAGGCAAAAGCAAGAGAAGAGTGGTAGCAGGGGAACATACCACATATTTTCCTACCTTTCTTACACAAACACACTCTCTCTATCTCTAACTCTCTTCTTTTCTATCCTCATAACACTTTTTACCATAGTCATGTGTAATCCCAACCCAACTTCACCATCTTCATTTCCTACTCCCTCAAAATCTCACCCCAAAGTTCTCTATCTTTCTCCTCATGATGATGATCAGGCTCAAGATGAGTTGCACAGATGGCCTACCTTCAATGAGGTAATGAAACAAGAACAAAGCAAGTAGCAAATACACACATGTTTTTTGTTTTTATGTAAAAGTAAATTCAATGAAGTAACTAGGTTACTAATACTACTGTGTCCCTTGTAGCAGTGACATACTAATACTGCTATGTAAAAACAAATAACAGTGTCAGTTTATATCATTTATATTAATGAACTACTATTCAGCTCATCTTTCTGTGTTTCTGCATTGATTCAGGCCATAGCAGAAATCAAGGCTATAGGGATGATATCAGGTCCAACAGCCATAACTGGTTTAGTGTTGTATTCAAGAGCTATGATCTCTATGATTTTCCTTGGCTATCTTGGAGAGATGGAACTAGCTGGAGGGTCTCTCTCTATTGGTTTTGCCAACATCACTGGCTACTCTGTGATCTCTGGATTGGCCATGGGGATGGAACCAATTTGTGGACAGGCTTATGGAGCAAAGCAATGGAAGCTACTTGGCTTGACACTGCAGAGAACTGTGCTCCTTCTGCTCTCAACATCCATCCCCATCTCATTCATGTGGCTCAACATGAAGAGAATCCTCTTGTGGTCTGGCCAAGACAATGAAATAGCATCAGTGGCTCAAACATTCATCATTTTCTCAATACCTGACCTTTTCCTCCTCTCACTTCTCCACCCTCTGAGAATCTACCTCAGGACTCAGAGAATCACATTGCCATTGACATATTGCTCAACCATCTCAGTTCTTCTCCATGTGCCTTTGAATTTCCTCCTGGTGGTTCATCTCAAGATGGGAATTGCTGGGGTGGCTACTGCAATGGTGTTGACCAACCTCAATCTGATTCTCTTCCTCTCCTCTTTTGTCTACTTCTCTGGTGCATACAAGGCCTCATGGGTTCCCCCAAGCGTGGATTGCATCAAAGGGTGGTCCTCATTGCTGTCACTTGCAGTTCCAACCTGTGTCTCAGTTTGCCTTGAGTGGTGGTGGTATGAGTTCATGATAATGCTATGTGGCCTTTTGGCCAATCCAAAAGCAACCATTGCTTCAATGGGAATCCTTATCCAAACAACATCTTTGGTCTATGTGTTCCCATCATCACTCAGCCTCGGTGTTTCCACAAGAATAGGGAATGAGCTAGGTGCAAACAACCCTGGAAAAGCAAGACTTTCCATGATAGTCTCACTCTTTTGTGCTGTGGCATTAGGCCTTGCAGCCATGCTGTTCACCACCTTGATGAGGCACCAATGGGGCAGATTCTTCACCAATGATCATGAAATTTTGGAACTCACATCACTGGTGCTGCCAATTGCTGGCCTCTGTGAGCTTGGAAACTGCCCACAGACCACAGGCTGTGGAGTCCTAAGGGGCAGTGCAAGACCTGCCATTGGTGCCAACATCAATTTGGGCTCATTTTACTTGGTGGGTATGCCAGTGGCTATCCTTCTGGGCTTTGTGGCCAAAATGGGGTTTGCAGGGCTTTGGCTTGGGTTGCTTGCAGCCCAAGTCTCCTGTGCAGGCCTCATGCTCTATGTGCTTTGCAGAACAGATTGGAATGTGGAAGTAGAAAAAGCCAAGGAACTCACAAAAACAACATCAACAACTACTACCACTTCTGCTGCTGCTGCTACAGCTCCAGATTCTAACTCTAAGTTACCTACACTCACCCCAAAAGAGGCTAACATGAACAACAATGCTCATGCTTGTTGTCTTGAAGAGATAGTTATTACTGTTGCTTCTGATGAGTTTACCAATATTTCTTCACTTGAAACAGATCCACTGATCATTCCCACCACCAGACACACTCAAGTTTAGTTAACCAGAGTTTAATGTTTTTTTTTTGGCCCGCCCCCATTTTTTTACCTTCATTTATTGGATTGTACTGTAGGATAAAATTGCCCCTCCTTTTTTGTCTTGTTTCTTCAGGTTGTATTATTAATACCCCATCTTTTTTTTCCTCTTTTGTTTCTTCAGGTTGTATTAGTAATAATTGCATTTGAGAAAAAAAGAATGTTTTTTTTTTTTAATTACTTCCTCATAAAGACATTGATAGATAGAGAAGGGGTTGGAGGCAGGGCAAAAGGGATTTCTACCTGACTTTGGTACTCATCCATTCCATAAAAAGCCAAACGAACTAAAAACAGAAAAACAGTCTCTGATACCATTAACACTAGGCCTAACAACTCACTGTAAGTAAATTCTCTGAGCATCATGTTCTTATTCTTATTCCCTTATCTTTAACAATGATACACCAAATAAAATGATGCATTATTTCAGTTATGCAGCAAAAATCTCGTACCTTAATCTCTTGCACTCCTGTAATGTGTTAAAAGCGTTATATTTACTAAATGATGTTTTTCTCTGGTTGTAATTAAAAAATGTAGTAGAAGTTATCTTTTAAAAAAATGTAAAAATGCAGCAAGAATATCCCTGATAAACAGTTAGAATCAATCTCTTTAGAGAGACATGATAACACAATGAAGAGTTTAGTTTCCCTTCTTCTTCTAACAATGTCTTCCAAAATATCTTAAGATGTAGTTTTAGCTTGTATAAAACTTTATCATGATTTCTGTTTTCAATTTTACTAAAACCATTTGTTTATGTTAAAATGCATGAAACTGTCATAAAAATTGAAAGAAATTTAATGGTGTCTTGAAATGCCAAAGAGATATTTTAACACAGGTGTTTTCTATAAGAAAGTGAAGAAGCATATCTTAATTAATGTGCCTAAACAACCTCATTATCTGCAACTGTTTGGTGTTTTAGTGATAGGAAATGAATGACAAGCATTTAGCAGAGGCAAATCAGCATTCTTGAACAGTGGATGAAACAAGGAATGACCCCACTAACAAAGAGTGAACTTTAATAAGCAACATAAGATGTTACCAAATAACACTAATAAGTTGAAAAGGGAGCAACACACATTCCTCCTCTTACCAATGTTTTTGACATCATGGCAGAAGGCACATTGAGTAGTAGTGGATGAGGTCATGACAATGGCAAAGAAAAAGGGTAGAAAGCAATGTTCCTCTTTTCCCATGAACACACAGAGTATACTGTGTGTACCACATAAAGATAATAAGGAAGAATGAGGTGAACAGAAAGAACAGTGATAGAAAATGCATGCACAAAGCATCTATCTGCAGAGAGAGAGAGAGTAGTAAGAGAATGATGACAATAATTGGCAATAGAGAATATGTACAGAAGAAGGGTATTGGGGGGCCCTGTTTCAAACTGTACATACAAATCCATGTATTATTGCCTCTGTCTATTTCTCAGATGACAACAAATTGGAACAGTGTCTTTGCATCACCACTTGCTCTCCACCTTAAGCTTCTTCTACCCTTAATCTTTTTCTCTCTTTTTCCTCAAACTATGTCACCAAACACAACTTTATTATGAATAAAAAAAAGGGTAGCTGTGTTATTTGTCTTGCTGTTAATTCCTCTAATTCTTCATGTGCACATTTTCTCCAACAAGATGTGGTACAGGTCCCATCTTATTTGCAGTTTGGAGGGGAACACACCTAAGGTCAAGTTTTGTCTTCTTCTCCATCTTTTCCGCTTTATGTAGTAGTGCTTTTGTAGAATTGAACCACTTCTCTTCTCACCTTATCTTCTCTTCTTCAACTTGTATAAATAATATCCTGCATTTTCCATCAACATGGCCTCTATTAACCCTGTATAAGGCTTTGTTCTCTTCAATGGATTTGAGGAGAATGACTGAGAGGATTTGAAGATAAATTTTTATGTTGTTTATTTGAGTGGATTTAAGGGTAAGTGAAAGTGGATTTAGAGGTAAATTTTTTTAATCTGTCACATCAATCAAATCCTACACTAATTCTCACAAACTTTACTTTCAAATTCACTCTTACTTATTTTCAAATCCACTCAAATAAATAATAAAAAAATTTATCTTTAAATCCTCTCAAATTCCCTCAATCACTCTCTCTCAAATTCATTCAAGTGAACAAAGCCTAACTAAAACGCTTTCATACAACTAAGTTCATATCGAATAAAAATAAAATTCTTTTAACATTTTAAATTGGAAGTAAAGTTAATATTTTAAGTCTATTAAATTCATATTTTATCTATTTAGTATCTGGATGATTTTTTTAGACAAATTCTTGTATTAAAAGTTTTCTTAGTCAATGTAAAAAAACTCACATATCATTTGAAAAAAAATAATTCATGACACATGCATTTACTGATCCTTAAAAAGTTTCTATTGTTACTTTTTCTACACAAAGATATAGTTTTGTTGCATTAATGAAATGAGTCAAGTTTCCATTTGTTTTGTATATTTTTACCAGTTATTTAGGTAGAATTGATTTTAAGTAAATTGATTTTGTTATAGGGTGCATAAGATATAACTTGCAAGTCTCACCTAAAATTCTTTCTATCTCATGAAAAAAATAAAAAAAATGTTGACTTTTCTGGGAGAATCAATTCTACCCACATAGAATTGATTTTGTAAACCTCCATTTGGAAATCAATACGTATCAAATCAAATTGGTGAGACAACATGTGAATGAAAAATAATATTCTAAGTGCTCTCGAAGTGGGCACTGATCAACAAATAAAAGTGCAAATGATTACTACAAATTTATAATAAAATAGTACAAAATTGGGAAAACGGATTTAGCCCATCACTTTATAAGCTTAACTTGCATGAGAGAAACAGTTCTATATTAGAACAAGTTGGATTAAATTAAAACTAAGCTCATGTGATTAATCACACTATTTGAATTACTCTATTTAGAAACCCTAGCTTTGTGTGCATGGATAAGTTCAAATTTCATATTATTTATTTCATGGAATTTAAAAGCTTATATTTGAATCATCTTCTATGTCCACTGAATTATAATTTAGTTAGGAGATTTTTAAGTTTAAGTATTGAATATATAACTCATGGCCTCCAAAAATATAAATTTTATAGCTATAAGTTTTATAATATAATTTAGTAACCAAGTTTTCATTACAAGTGTGAACCAAAAAGACTATGTTTGAGACATGTGTATAACTATAAGGTTGTCACCAAATCAGCACCACAACCATGTCATTCTTTGGTTGGAGGGCACAAAACAGAACAAAAATAAGACATTACAGGTACTTTCGTTATCAAACACTACTTCAGAAAATAATGTCATATATTATTTACAAAGCCAATGAATGATTCAAGCAAGGATTCATTTCAGAGTATAAGATAATCCAACCTAATATTTCTTTCTCACTTTTATCATTTGTGTTGATAGTCAAAGAAAACAATAATAGCATTATTCACTTTTCTTTTCAGATTATATGCAGCATTCAATGTAATGTTCATCAAAGATAGTTTTCCATTGCATCAAAGCTTGAACCACTTCAAAATTTTTAATGTTATACGGTTTTTTTTTAAGAGACACTGAAAATATTTGACATCACTTAATTATAAATAAATTTATATAAAATATCACGATATAATTTTTATTATAAAATTTTAAAATAATAACTTTAATATAAAAACTAAAAAGGAAATTTTAAAACAAACTTTCATTATTTATTCTTTTTTATCTTGCTTTTTTTTTTCAGTATTATATTTATCTTTTGGTTTTCTTTTTCTTTTTATTCAGCCAATGAGCCCACCAGTAACTAGTCCGGCTCCTTTTTTTTCTAAATTATTGAAGAACAAATTTTTATTTTAATGTATTTTATTTAAAAGAAGTCAATTAAAAACAATAAGCAAGAAATACGAATAGACTTCTATGAAATAAAATGTTCTCATTCATGATTCATTTCTCTTTTTTTAAATATANATATATATATATATATATATATATATATATATATATATATATAACCTTTAACAAAATAAAAAAAATTTAAAATTATCTTATTTTACAAATTAGAAAGTTCTCTAATTAAACATGTCAATACTTGATTTAATAACGATATTTTATTTAAATGGCTCCTTTATAATGATTTGTACATTGGAACATTTCTCTCTCTGATATCCAGAGAGATCTAATACTACACAAAAAGAAAAATATGAAAACTAAATTATGAAGCATATTTTCCAAAACCTATTGTGGAAGTAAATGATAGTGTTCTTATATTTTCTTCCTTTGAATCTTGAGTTATAATATCCTTATGTTTTGTGGTTGAGAAATAAAGGATTAAAAAAAATGAAAATATATCTGTAATAGCCATAATGTGTAAGGTAGTTGTCTGCAATGTAGCAATACACAAGTATTGCAAAGTCACAATCCATCTATGGTATCCACATAAATCAAATAAACAATAACATCGTTTACTATAAGGCTCTTTGGCTAGGATTTCCAATTAAACTCATCTAATAACTTATTCTATTTTTTATGCACTATTCTAACTCAACATTCTATGCTATTAATACATTATTCTACTACAAATATAGATATTATACCGCTTTAACGTATGTTTTGTGAAAACAATAATTATAAATTCTATTATAATTATTATTTTTTAAATAATAATTGAAAATGCACTGATTAAGTACCTAGGCTTCTATAGCTTAGCCGTGTAATCAAATTCAATTATCATTATTTTACTGAGCAAGTATTTCTATACGAGTGTAATTATAAATAAGTTAAAATTGATATTACTAAAGTTGATAGTTGTGATAATTTTCGTCTTTTATTCTTTCTGAAATATATATTATTTTTATTTTATTATTTTTTTCTATTTCTCAAGATTTTGGAGATTATTTTCATCTTTCTTCGTTAGAAAGTGTAAGGTGAAGTGAAAATCAACATTTTAATTAGAGTAAGTTTTTTCTTTCTTCCAATCTCAATTTTTTTTCTTTTAGTTTAGTTTACATGTATAAAGTTGAAAGGGAGGGTGTGAGAGATTACAGGCTCAACTCTTCCCACTAACATTTGAGAGTTATAAAGTTGGTTAAAAGGATTTGAAAAGGAGAGTGAGAGAGGTTCTGGATTTAATT